CGAAAGCGAAGACCTTGCAGGAGAAAGCAACCGACGGGCGCACAGAGCCACACATGCCGAAGTCCTTGCACCGTAGAGGTCGGCAGCGTAGCGAGACCCCACTGAACCCTATCGGTCACCAGTGGAGGCCGACAGCAGACAGGAGCAGACCAAGGGCCACCTGACCGCCCATCCCCAGTGTGATCCTTGCATAGAAGTCGTAGCGACACCTCGCGAAACCCTTCCGGTCACCAGTGGAGGCCGACACCAGCCAGGAGCAGGCCAGGGGCCACCTGACCGCCCGTTCCCAGTGTGATCCTCGCATGGAATTCAGGCTGTCAGAGCACCATCAGACAGCGGCATTGGTGGCAACCCCAGCCGCGTGGTATATACCCGGTGAAACAAAGGAGAGGAGGGGAAGTGCACGCCAGGCACGGTAGGCACCCCGGCGCGGCACTAACTGCTGCGGCATCAGGATGCAGGAAGAGAGGAAAAGGAAGTGCACGCCAGGCACACACGCGGAAGGAAAGGAGGGGAGAAGAACAGAGACACGAGCATCATAATCCCACTGAACCCCTTCGGTCATCAGTCGGGGGGGGGGGGGGGGGCGGCGCCGGCCTGGGGCAGCCGGTGGGCACCTCGCGCGCGCCAAGCGCTCTGCATCGAAGCTTACCTCAATAAACCCGCCACTGGCGCCAGCTTGCCGTAGTCCCCCGCGCGAAGTCCCGGGTAAAGCTGGGCTCTTGAAGCCGCGAAGTAGCGAACAATCACGACGATGAGGTCTTCCACTGGGCTAGCGCACAGTACCATATGCGCCAGCGGGCGTGGGCAAGGCGCGCTTTCTTGTTTAGCCACGCACCAGTTACTGCAAGGGCCCGCAAGGAGGCGCTGTCGGTGAAACATCCAGGGCGCTCTTCAATGGGACGCTTGACAGGGGCAATCACGGTGGGCTGCCAGACTGAAGCCGCGCTGAGCGGTGACTGCGTTGGAGGCAGAAAGAGAAGGGGAGTAGGGGAACGCGGCTGAGCGCCGCACGCATAGGAAAGAGAGATAGCAGTGCAGGCGCGTGGCGTTGCTAGGTGCACCACATACCCGGCGCGACGTCAGAACCGCATCTCAGCGAAACTAGGCGGCGCCCCACGCTCAGTGTTACTGGCGATACCGTTTCTCGTTCCATGAACTCCATGGGCTCTCGGTAATTCGGTTCCTCTTCCTAGCCTTGCCCAGTGAATCGGGTCCGTCCTTCGCCTTGCCTTCCCCCTTGCTCGGGTGCTCGCCCGCTGCGTTGAACCTGGAGGCAGCGGCCCCGCTGCTGCTGGCAGCGCCAGAGCTGGAGGCGTTACTGACTGCCGTGAGCCTGTCAGTTGGGCTGCGAAAGATGGCCTTGGCGCGCATGATCTGGTTGGCGCGGCGCGCGTCGTAGTCTGCAGTCGCCCACGCGTGGGGGAAATTTCGACACACGCCTGGCGGCTGCAGTGCTGGGTTGATAATCGGCCGGGCGTTAGTGGGGCAGGTTTTGGCACAGCGTGCATTCCACAAGTCGCTGAATATACTGCCGAGCCCCCCGGGGCATTGTGAGTCGATCGTGCGCAGTGGTGCCTTGTACTGTACATCTGGGACCCGTCGTTCTCCTTGGGCTCGTGGATGGTCAATGGGTTCTTGGAAAAGGGTACCCATTTGCCATGATTGAATATCCCGTCGTTTCCCGCGCGCACGTTCTGGCGACGCCAGGCGTCGTCGCGAGACTGCGTGGCCCGGCGGTCTGAGGACCTGTCGCAACTCCACTGGCCATTGTGTCTGCGCGAGGAACCAGTCCTGTCATCAGCGGCGTGCTGAATGGGAGCGTCTTGTTGTTCTCGTCTGCCGCTCTGTCCTTTGCCTCGCACGCGCCCTTTTGAAAAAAGGCCCCAATGTGGCGGATCTCGCTTCCTCGGCAGCGGGGGTCTATCGTCTGCGACGCTGGGTGTTTCGTCGTCAGCCGTCCCGGTGTTGTCACCCTCGCCTGTAGCTGGGCTTCCTTCAGGGTCATCTGCCTCGTCCGCTTCAGACTCCTCGCACCTTGCTCGGGTCGTAGCCCAAGACGTCGCCGTCCGGGTCCCTGAATTCATCTGTGGCGGCAGCAGGCTCGCTTCCTGAGCTGCTTCTGATCTCTCTTGTCGCTGTTCGTGGACCTTCAGGTCGGGACAGCGGCTGCCCGCTTAAGTCCGCGCCAGAGTGGGCAGGAAATAATTGCCCCCCGAAAGAGGCGTTCATGACCACGCTGACCAAGGGGTCCAGACTCTTCTCCTCGTCGCGTATCCGTTGGGAGCCCGGGTCGCACAGGGCAGAGATGTCTTCCTTGGCGCTATCGGCCAACATGGCCATTCGCTCCATGAGCTGCTGAAAAGACATGTTGTCTGGTGCTGTGGTACGGTTTGGGACGATTGGTCGAAATTCAATCCCACGTGGGTGCATGCATGTGTCCACTGTTCCCAAGTTAACGGTGTCCAGACGTATTACATGGCCGGGGGCGTCCTCGATGTCAAGTCTGGCCAGCCAATGAGCAAGATCGTCTGTGCTGTGGACCCTAATTTTTGTCCCCGTGAATGGTTTCGTTGATGCGTGCCACCCACAGTTTCTTTAGCCGATCGTCCTTCCCGATGAGGTGCTTGCACGACCAGCGGCCTATGCTTTGCCATCTCATTCCGTGCCTGGCACAAATCCGTCGGTAGTGAGCCCCGACGGAAGAAACGCCCACGCCAGGGTGGAGCAGGCCAGAACGTTGAGCCAGTTGCGGGCCCGTTGTCTGGCACCTCGTACTGGTTCCCCAACGCGTAGAAAATGTCGTTGGCAACTGTGCCGTCCTCCTCTTTGCTCCCGCACTTCCCTGATCACCTCTCAACTCGCCCGGACATCGTTTCTGGATGGGCTGGTGGGGATTTTTTTCGTCGCAACCGCAGGCGAGGGCGCCAACGGCGAGTGTGGTCCGAGCAGGCCGCGCAAGAGCCGCATTGCCTAACGCCGACGGGCGGGCGACGCGCGAGGGGGGCTGCGGGCTGCAGTTGCCAAGGACCAGGTCCAGGAGCGCGCGCATGCACGATTAATCAACCAGGGTTGGAGCGCAGCCACAATGGCGCGGGGGTGGTACCAGGATGTGGCCAGGAAGGCAACCAACAGTACACTGCGTCAGCTGCCAGGAGATCATACTGGCCCTAAACTGGTGCATAGGGTGGCGCCACCAAAATCGCACACCATGACTCCTGAAGGGAGTGCTGATCCTGCATACAACCGTCCACGGGGCGGTCCCGGAAGGTCGAGCGAAGTAGCCAGGGAAACGATGGATGTAACCGACACCGTAACACACTTGAACCACAGGATCAGGAAAAACCGGGCGCACTCTCGAACAGGGATGCCGACGTCAGAGAGCTGACCAGGACCAGGGCGATCTACGTTTCAGGCACCGGGTCGAGTGCATACGAGGGTGCCGTGGGCATCGCCGCCAGGAACCGCGGACGTAGTCAACACAATCATCCGACGGCCAGGAGAGCACAGGCTGAAACACGTGCACTCAGGGACCCCATGCGCTCACGATCGGGTTGGACCAGTGGAGCTGGGGGGACCGGCTGGTGGGGGTACTTTTTTGGTTGGCGGCTCCAGGACAGAGGTCATGAAGCGGGATTAACGACTGGGGCACAGGCGGCACATAATTGGCCAAAGCGGCGCGAAAGCCGCAGAGGCGAGTGCACGTGCAAGGGACCAAAGGACCCTCATTAAAGGAGATGCAAGGGACAAAATGACCCGAATTGAGCACCGTAGACCGTCACCGACAACCCGGCGGGTTGGGGCGCCACGCCGCTTCGTGCAGCGAAACTGCGGCCAGCGTGAAGAAGCCGCACCAGCGTGTGGGAAATACAACGCAGCGAGCGGCAGCAACGGCTGTACGGCCATGTGTACTGTAGCAGCGCGGGGAAGTCGCCCTGTCGGCGCCAAACCCCGCCTGTACGACACACAAAAGCGAGGCAGAGAGAGGGGCGAGCGAGCCGCGGCGGACGCCAGACGGGGGCCCACGCGACAGGAAGAAAAGGAAAAAGCGGCACACAGAGGGGCCTCACTCACCATGGCTCACTGTCGCTGTGCTGGGTGTGCCCGCCCTCGGACATGGATGGAAGGGCGACCCAGTCAGTGAACACGAGGCAACGTCGCATCCAGCCTGTAGCCAGTGCGTACACAGCGTATCCGACTCTCAAGGTTCGGGGGCACAACGTTGCGAGCGCTGACAGAGGCAGATGCGACACGGGCCTGCTGGGGGAACGGCCATGACCTGCAGAAGGATGAACCACTCGTGCAAGACCATTCCCAATGTGGCCCGTCGTCAAGTAGCACCGGAAGTGAGGCTAGGGACACTCCAGTCTCCACCTTACACGAAGCCAAAACGACGTCCTTGTGGTAGCGCCATGACCAGGTCCACGTAGATCAAGGCGATACGCAGGTGGGGGTGGCATTGCCTGCCGCTGAGCGCGGTGTCGACGGGGAAGGGCTGACCCCACACCACTGCAGCATCACGACAGCGTACGCAGGCTGGCAGCCAGCCGATAGCCAGTAACCACATCGTAACCGGCCCGCGGAGTCCAGGGGCCCACCGATGTGAAGCCCTGGTGGGGGCAGGGCGCGTGGCTGCGCCGGGGAGAGCAACCACCTGTCCGCAGGGGGCTGCACCACACGATGCAGCTGGTGGGGATATTTTTTTTCTACAGCCGCAGGCGGGAGCGCCAGCGGCGGGCGGTCGCGGGCGGGCTACGACCGAGACTAAATTGCCGAGCGCGCGCGGGGGCCGCGGATCAGGCGGCGGGGGGGGGCAGCGCCCAGGGCGGCAGAGCCAGCTGGTGGGGATACGCGAAGCGTCTAGAATTCGCGGGGAAACTGCGCTAATGCAGACTTTGGGTATTCGAATCATCCCCCTAACGTTGCCCCTGAGCCTATCCCCCTCCTGACGTTGCCCCCGATTCCAGAACCACCTCACGGGTTCCAAACGCACTAATTCTCCGAGCTACGTCCAGCCGTGGTGACGAGGGCCCCGTCAAAGGCCGACCACCGTTGTCCCAGCACGCCCTCCTGTGAGCAACGCTGCCCCTGACCTCATCCCCCCCGGATGTCGCGAACAATTTACAGCGTCGCGAAATATCACGACCGGAGCCCTGGACACCAGCTTTCTGCAGCATTGCTGCGATGGTCCCAGAGAGCCGGATCGAGCTGCGACGGTCCCCAGGGGGCCTGACCTCGGGCGAGAACGCCCGCTGGGAAAAAAAATATGCAGCGCCGGGATCTGGGGGCATCTCCCCCCGCAGCGTTGCCGCTGAGCCTACAGGCAGACTTGTTTGCACAGGACGCGCGACGGGACACGAGACTAGTCCGACGGCAACATGGCCTCCAATAAGGGTGCCTGCAACATGGCCTCAAACATGGCCTCTTCCCAGGACTGCAGAGGACACGACGCGCGATGCACAGGACACAAGAGTACCCTTGATTTGGCAGGGTCGACCTACTAATCTGGGCCGACTGTACCTCTCCCTGACGTTACCCCCGATGATCAGCGCCAAATCATTCGCCCGCCACTGGGAGTCAGACTTCTGGGGGTCAGCGTCGGCGAAAAGCAAACTGAGGAAGACATCGTCCTGATACGGGCCGGGGCGAAGAGTTCCACAGGGAGCTGCCACGGGAAAGGTGAGGAAGACACATTTCTGGAACGGCCCCGAACAGGGACAGTACAAGAAATGGAGCTCACCTTATCTAGGGGAACGAACAATGACACAAACAGAAAAACTCGGAGCTCCGCGCGGACTTCTCGGATGGGCGCTGGGACCCCCTGGCGCGCTCCGCGCGCCAGGGAGCGGGATCCAGGGACTCCGCGCGGACCTCCGAGTCTTTCTGTTTGTGCCACTGTTCGCTCCCCAAGAAGGGCTGATCTCCACCAGCAGGCGCAGCGCCGACGGCGCTCCCCTAGAAGGGCTCTCATTGTTCGCCCCCCTAGAAGGGCTGACCTGTGTTCCTGTGTTCCTGTCGACTCTGTGCCCGCGGAGCAGGCGTAGCCGTTGGGCGGAGGGGGACCACCTTGGGAAGGGCTGTCATTGTTGGCTCCCCTGGAAGGGCTGACCTCCTCGACCCCCAGCAGGGCTGGTCTCCGCCAGCGGGCGCAGCGCCGCCGGCGCCCGGCGCCGCGGCTACGCCCACGGCGCCCGCACGGCGGCGGGCGCCGAGGCCCTGCGGCCGCGCGCGGGCGCCGAGCTCGGGCGGCCGCGCGCCGCCTCGGCGCGGTGGCGGGCCCCCGTCGCCCCCGGCCTCAATGTAGGGGGCCACATGCGAGCCCTACTCCAAGCCCCCACGATTTCTGAGGAGGGTGGGGTTCACTTCGCCCGGGAGCTCCCGAACGGAGAGAACCCCACCCTCCCCCGCAGAACTCGTGGGGGGTAAGGGTAGGGCTCGCATGTGGCCCCCGTCATCGACGGGCAGCCGTGTTCGCGCTGCACGCTGCGCGCAGCGCGAGCACAGCTGCCATTGTCGCCGCCGCCGTCGCCGTCGTCGCCGTCGCCACCGTCGCCGTCGCCATGGAGTGGCAGGCCCGCGCCGCCGTGACGCTCGACCTTGAACGATCGGCGTTGCAGTCAGCCCGTAGAAGAAGGACGCACGATGAGGATCGGCGGTGAGCGAGGGGGGAAGCGAGAAAGAGAAGGCCTGCTCAGAAGGTTCGGAAGTCCCCCGGCCTTCTGAGAAGTCGTCGAGGCCTTCCCCGAGGAAGACAAACTGAAACTTCTCAAAGGCACGAGGGCTTCTGAGAAGTCCCACCGCCTTCTGAGAAGGCCTGCTCCTTTTCATTTCTCCCCCTCGCTCGCCGCCGAAAGGATGCAAGGGCCTTGAAAGGCCATGTGAACACATTGCGAGCGGGGTGCGGCCAACGAAAGTGGCCAAGGATGGACCGAGAAGGGGCGAGGATACAAGGGTAGCCTTGGAAAGTCGCTCATCCTTACTATGCGCGTTGACTGTGCTTCGACCGCCAGATCGTTCATGCTGGCCGATTCTGGGCAAACGCCGGCGTTCACCCTGGAGCGCCCGCGCCGAGATCGCCGACGCGTCGACACGACACGAGTCCGCCGTACTGCTCGTCGTCTTGGGGGGACAGTACTTAGGGGAGGAAGGGGCGCCGATGTCGCCACCCATGCCTCGTTTTCGAGGTCCTGGTCCTCCAGGGAGACCCTCGTCGCCGGGGCTGGATTCGCCGTAGAATTCTGGTCAGAACGAACCCAAGGAGAGATCCGGGGAGTAGCGTTCGGGCCTGTATCTCTACAGGGGGAAAATTCAAAATAGTCCAAAAATAATATGGGGACTATGTTTTGAATCTTTTTGGGCATGTTTTGAATATGTTTGGCAATTCTAATTTTTCGTCCAAAATCCCCCTGTAGGGGGACAGGCCCGATCTAAGAGTAGCGGTATCGTTGTGTTTTGGTTTCTCCGCCCGCAAGCAGTGTGGTGACAAACCGCGCGGCGACCTCGAGATCCGTAAAGGCATCACCGCGGGGTCCGTCACTGGCTCCTGCTCGTCGTCGTCTTGGGTTAGGTGGCAACTCATGGCCAACTCATGGCATGTCCCCACAAGGACGATTACGGGCTAACCAGCCCGACAAAGGGGCCATGAAGCTGGATCAGCTAAAATAAGGCCTGTTGTTGAGCCAAGATTGCGCTTTAATGAGACGGACTAGTAAGCGGGAGTCATGCCAGAATGAAACAGTTTTCGACACCGGATAAACCAGCGCCGATGCTGAATTGGAACCTCGCAGGAGTTACATCTGAAGTTTGGGATCCCAAACCTGTGCGGTGACAGGCTGCGCGGCGACTTCGACATCCGCAAGAGACCTCACCCCGCGGTCTGTCACCACACAGTTTTGGGACCTTCGGGGCCCCACTTGCCCCAGGCATCCTCAGACAATGACCCAAGTCCCCAACAAGGCGCGGCAACCCCGAATCCCCACCGAGTCAACACATGGTGTGGTCACCGCATCGCGTGGAGGCCCCCGAATGGCCGTCGTCGTCATCGTCGTCGCCGTCGTCCTCCGGTTTTGCCTTCGTTTCTGGGGTTTCTCGTAACCTAAGCTGAACGCGGCTCGAGAAACAAGGCGGGATGGGCCTCCAAAGGTGTCACGGACCATTCTTGTCGAAAGACCCTCCCGAGCGGCAGCCGATATGTGTCAACCTCTGCCGAGCATTTCCCAAAGCGGAGGTAGCGGGAGGGGGGCGATAACCACCCTCGAGCTCATCCCTATCCCTTCGACCGACAGGCTTGGGGTGATGACAATCTTGATCTCAGAAAGTGAGCGAAATAAAGATAGGGATTTGTTCCAGGTTGGCAAGACGAGACGCTGCGCGGAGCGTGTGCCAGCCTCCCTGCATCCATTGTAAGGCTCCGTGAGCAGCAGAGCAAATCCATGACTTGCTCGCGTGGGGCGAAACCACCCGCAAAGTCGCATGGCACTAACACCAGCTGCAGCTCATAGCAAGAAGAACTCATCGGTGGGAGGGACAATAGCACCGGATAGCTGATCTCACGTTCCTCTTCCTCCTCCTCCTCATTCTCCTCCTCCTGCTCCTCCTCAGGAGGAGGAGGAGGAGACGCCTTGGCTGCCAGATTGTCGGCCAGGCACTGGATGCCGCCGACAAGCTGGTCCTTGCATTTGCGGAGACGAGGAACAACCACGGGGGGGGGGCCTCCCTCCCTCCCGTCCTCCATTCTCTACTATCTCTCTCTTTCTCTTCCGCACTCGCGTGCCAAGCCTCAGGAAGTGCATGACCTACACTGGACGTTTAAGCATTACTCCAGAAACTGAGATACCCCCCAGAAATAAATTCGCCAGGCGAAGGACCCAACAAAATGCAGTTGTGAACACCGCAGTTGTGGGTATCGTGTTCGGTGGAGCTCCCCATGTGCTACTGGGCGAGGGAATCGCATGCGAATTTTGCCACTGGGGCATTCGGTTGAGCGGACGGTGCCACTGGGGCCGTCGGTGGAGCTACCTGTGAGGCCACGAAACGCTGTACTGGGTGGGGGAGACGCCTGCGGACGGTGACACTGAGACCTTCGGAGGAGCCCCGGTGTGGGCCACGAAAGGCTGTACTGGGAGGGGGAGACGCATTCGGAAAGTACCACTGGGGCCGTCGGTGGAGCTTCCTATGGGCCACGAGACGCTGTCCTGGGTTGGGGGGAAACGCGTGTGGACTTTGCCAATTGGGCCTTCGGTGGAGCTCCTTATGAGACCACGAAAAGCTGTACTGGGTGGGGGAGACGCATGTGGACGGTGCAATTGAAGCCTTCGGTGGAGCTCCCTATGGGGTCACGAAGCGCTGTACGGGATAGAAGAGACGCATGCTGACGGTGCCACGGGGCCTTCGGTAGAGCTGTCTATGGGGGCACGAAGCGCTGTACTGGATGGGGGAGACGCATGTGGACGGTGCCCTTGAGGCCTTCGGTGGGGCTCCCTATGGGGCCTCGAAGCGCTGTACTGGGTGGGGAACGCATGCGGGCGGTGCCTCTGGAGCCTTCGGTGGAGCTCCCTATGGGGCCAAGAAGCGTTGCACCACTGAGGGGGAAGACGCATGCGGACGATGCCATTGGGGCCTTCGATGGAGCTCCTATGGAGCTACGAAGCGCTGTACTGGGTGGGAGGGCGCACGCGGAAAACACCATTTGGGCCTTCGATGGTGCTCCCTATGGGACCACGATGCGCTGTACTGGGTGGGGGAGACGCATGGACGGTGCCAATGGGGCCGTCGGTGGAGTTCCCTATGAGGCCACGAAACGCTGTACTGGATAGGGGGGACGCGGGCGCTACAGTAGCGCTGGGGCCACAAAGCGCTGTACTGGGCGGGGGGGACGCATGCGGGCGGTAGCATTGAGGCCGTCGGTGACGTCTCTATGTGGCCACGACGCGCTGTACTGGGGGGGAGAAGACGCATGCGGGCGGTAGCACTGGGACCTTCGGTGGAGCTCCCTATGGGACCACGAAACGCTGTACTGGGTGGTAGGGACGCATGCGGGCGGCCGCAATGGGACCTTCGGTGGTGCGGGCGGTAGCACTGGGACCTTCGGTGGAGCTCCCTATGGGGCCACGAAGCGCTGTATTGCGTGGTAGGGAAGCCTAGCACCAGGACCCTCAGTGGAGCTCCTTACGGGGCCACGAAGCGCTGTACTGGGTGGTGGGGACGCATGCGGGCGGCAGTAGCTGGGACCTTCGGTGGAGCCCTTTTACGGGGCCACGAAGCGCTCTACTGGGGGGGGGACGCATGCGGGCGGTAGCAGTGGAACATTCGGTGGAGCCCCCTATGGGGCCACGAGCCCTGTGATGGGTGCCAAACTGGTAGACGGATGCACAGAGCAGGGGCAGGGATGTGATGAGGGAGGGAGAGGAGGAGGCAGGGGGAACGCGGGGCGTTCCCTTCAAACGAAACCCCAACATCACAGGATGGATGGGCATAGGATCGAAAAAAATGCGAGGGAAATATGTAAGGGGGAACGGAACGGAAAGACGGCCTGCACATAATAATGTCACTAAGTCGTCGAGGACCACGGTTTCGGCCACGAAGCGCCGTTTTTTTGTTCCTCCCCCTGTTCCCGAGGTTCAAAGCACAATGGCGCGGGCAACGTCTACGCACAGGCCGTACATGAAATTGGTGGCGTCCTCTTTAGCGATGGTCTCCACTGAACACGACGCGATGACTCGTCCAGAATACCAACAGACCATACAAAGTGGATGTGGACTCCGCCGCGCAAGTGCGGAAATAGACGATTCGAAATAAATGCTACTGCTGAACAGGATGTTTTCCGTGTCCCCTTGTCGCCGTATCAGCAGTTCGTATTTTCGCGAGTAGGACTCACGCCAGGCGGCAAAAATCTCTGGACATAAGACTGTTATTCCTCCAATGTGAAGTTCACGCCCTGGTCCGCGACCTTGCTGCTGAACTCGCCCCGTCCCCTCCTGCCGTTACCAGCGTGAAAGATTTGCCGAGCACCCTGGAGAATTCGGGAGGAGCCCTTATTGTGCAACGTCGTGTCGTCATTGATAATGCTGGCAAGTGGCTCGCAACCAGTAGTGAAGCAAACCCGTTCCCCTGGCCCCCCTACCTTCCACTGTAATGTCTTCATCAACGTGGACAGTTGAAAGCTCACTCAAGCTGTAACCAACCACCCTGGAGCGTTTCTTTGGCCGGTGCTGACCCTGGTGGCGGTGGTACCGTCGGTCTATACATACATGTGCAACATGAATTTCTAGATTGAAAACTCAATCGTCCTAGAATGTCCTTGTTCTACACTCATTGCGTCCCAACAAAACGTAACTTCCTGCCGTAGATATCAGCCAACAAATTCCCCAACCCGGTCCGGCAACCGACGCCCGTAGTGAAAGTGAGGTTTTTCTCTCCCCCCTTCTCTCGATTCCTATACCTTCTTCCCCTTCCCCATCCCCCATATATGCGTACGCGTGTCTCTCATGGTCTCTCTCCCAATACACATTATGAATACAACTCTCCTCCCTCCCCGGACTCTGTCGGGGAGATATCCGGCCATCTCCGCGAATGATTACTTGCACGCAGGAGTTATAACATGTATGTGTGTGTGCGAGCGCGTGGTGTGTGTGTGGATGTGGGTGTGGGCGTGGGTGTGGGTGTGGGTGCGGGTGCGGGTGCGGGTGTGGGTGTGGGTGTGGGTGTGGGTGTGAGTTTGGTTGTTGGTGTGGGTGTGGGTGTGCATGTGGGTGTGGGTGTGGGTGTGGTTGTGGGTGTGGGTTTGGGTGTGCGGTGTGGGTGTGGTGTGTGGCTGTGGGTGTGTGGGTGTGGGTGTGGGTGTGGGTGTGTGTGTGTGTGCACGCGCTTACGCGCGTGATCGCGCGTGCGTGCGTGCGCGCGTGCGCGTGCGCGTGCGCGTGCGCGCGCGTGCGTGTGCGTGTGCGTGTGCGTGTGCGCGTGCGTGTGCGCGCGCGTGTGCGTGTGCGTGCGCTTGATCGTGCGCATGTGCGCGTGCGCGTGCGTGTGCGTGTGCGTGTGCGTGTGCGTGTGCGTGCGTGCGCGTGTGCGTGTGTGTGTGCGCGCGCGTGTGCGTGTTCGTGTGTTTTTCTCTTTGTTGTTCCATCCGATCGTTTTTGCCCGTCCAGCAGAAAATTGTACTCCTGCTGCAACACTGGCCCCACTTCCGCGCTTCTGCTCAAATCGAAATCGCGTTTCCGCTGCCGCGCTGGCCTCAATTCCGGATCAGCGTTTTGCTCCTGAGAGTCAGCATGGCTCCCAAGCCCCAGCACGAGCCACTTCTGGAACCGAGCGCGCATTCATCACTGTCGCCCCCGTATAGATTCCTCCCCCTCCTCCTCCTCCTCCTCCTCCTCTTCCTCCTCCTCCTCCTTCCTCCTCCTCCTCCTCCTCCACCTACTTCCTCTCCTCCTCCTCCTCAGCCTCCTCCTCCTCATCATCCTCCTCCTCCTCCTCCTTCCTCCTCCTCCTCCTCCGCCTCC